ACACACACACACACACACACACACACACACACACACAAACACACACTCACACACACACAGTCACGCGACGTATAGATCCACCTTCGAGGGTGGATTTATTTGCTCCAACCAAACTATTGAGGTCCAGCCTCCTGATGAGTCGGTGTGAGTCCGACGAAACAGTCTGGCGCAGTCACACCCGTTCGTCGAAAACGAACGGGCACTAGGTGCACCAAAAGAAGAACAACAAAAAAAGAAAAGAAGAAAAATAATCTAAACAGAATCTAAAAAGGAAAAATCTGATAAGAATCTAAACGAAATCAAAAGAAAAGAAAATCTAAAAGAACTTACTAAAAAAAAGGAAAACGGCTGCCCTTAAAAAGCGGGCGCCTGTCAGGTGTACTGGGGTAAGAAGCCCCAGTCACTTCGTATTGCACCACCTGGCGCTTCAGTTTAGATAATTGTCTTTTTTTTTTTTTTTTTTTTTTTTCCCTTTCTTTTCCCGTCGGCTACAGCCAACGGGCACATCAGGTCTCGTGGCTTTTCAGTCACGAGCAACCATCCCCCAAGGGCATGGTTCTACTAGCAAAGAGGATCGGATCGAATGCCTGAATCTGGACGATGCTACGGAGATGTGCAGGAAATCGAGATTGAACTACTTTTCTGCCTCTTTGTTTAAAACACATCCAGATTCAGGAGCTCGATCCTATCCCTTTTGCTAGTGGGACCTCAGCCCTGAGGAACCATCGTCCTTTTTTCTTTTTTTTTTTCTTTTTTTTTTCTTCAAAAAAATATAGAATTAAAATTTTAAAAAAAATTGGATCATTCATGCGTGTCATCCTTACGCAGAGGCTATGCTACCTTGCGCGACCGATCGCAGCCATGTGATCCTGATGATTGCACAGTCTGCTACGTTTACCTTCAAGGCTGGCTCCTACTACGACTGTAGTAAGAGCAGCCCTCCTACTTGAAGTGTTGTGGGGCCTGGCCGACCACCCTTCAGTAGCACGACCGGTTCCCCCAGCCTGTGGTTCTGCCGGCCTCGCCCGTTCGAGGCGTCACAGACCCTGTTTACTGGTCGTGCCTTACCGGTTGGCTGCGCTACCCTGGTTTGGCAATCATCTAACCGGGTAGGCCTCGGCACCGGCCAGTTGGCCTTCTGGTTCAGACCCCAACCTCGTAGGCCCAGACTTCCTATTCCTCCTGCATCGCGGCTATATATCCGGTGCACCCCTGTTTTTAGCCTACTAAGGCCCTTAATCGCGCGGCTTAGCAGCCGCGCGACTTCTTTTAGGTAGAATAAGTCTAGCCTTAGTCCTTCTACGACCATGCACCCTTGTGGCCTTGTCGGGGGCCGCGGATGACAGGTCATACCGCCGATTCCCACTGTTCCGATCGAACATCAATGGCATCACACGTCAATGACGTCACGTGTCAACGACTTCATATGTCAGTGACGTCACATGTCAACACCGTCGTATGTTAATGACGTCATATGTCAACGACGTCGGACTTTAGGTTTCTTAGTTATTGGGTTGGTCTGAATAATCTTTGGCAACGTCAATCTCATCAAGTCTTTCAATCCAAGCAAGGGTCGGGCAGTGTCTGATCTTGAAAAACTCGAGCAGAAACCCTTACAGACGTTTTTGTCCCGACAGCCTTCCCCGCCCCCATTAAGCGACGTCCCCGTCGCTTACCATAAGCAGTATAAGGGAAAGTTTTTATAAGACCTCAGCAAACATATCATATAATCACAGTATATCCGGAATTAAACCAGATTTCATATACTTATACGTAATGAGCGACGTTCCCGTCGTTCACCTTCCTTTCCTTTTATAATTTTCTAGACACTCTTTATGAAATACTCCGTGTAGACTCCATTACCATCAACGAGAAAGGCTTACTTTCAAGCCTTTAATAAACAACAGGTTATTTTCAAGCCTTTAGCACAGAGGCTTACTTTCAAGCTTTATGATTCTTTCGAACTTTCCTTCGAAAGCACTTTCATTCAATCACGAGTTGGAATGGTGTCAGAAATAACCTCTGGCAGGTCTTTCCGCGGAATCTGGAATCCACTATTGGCTTTACCCAACATCATCCCATTGGCTGCCACTCATACTCTCTTCTTGTCTCTCATAGATGGGTCAGGCTTATCCCCCCGATGGGACTCTCTTCAGGCTATAACCCCCTGTCTAGGTCTCGTCAGGCTTAACCCCCCCCGGGTCTTTCATCCGTACAGCACGCACTGCCAGGAATTTAACCTGGGTCTCTCATATTTATGGGGATGCATTCCTAACACCTCAGCATGTCTCTCGCTGCCAGGAGTTTAACCCGGGTTCCCTACGAAACACAAGGATACTCACACTATACTACAGCACGTGCCGACACCATCCCAAAGAGAAATCATCCTTCCAAGAGTCCCTGTCCAGTCCGGTTAATTCCCGAACCAACTTAATTATCATGCATGACTTATCTCCTACATGCCTTGTGAATGCGTCGAGGAGTGGTGTAATCCATAGAGGATAACATATCGACGTCCCCGCCTTAGACTCGAGCCTCACCACTTTCCCTCCGATTCCAGTGTCATACATCCGTTAGTACCCTACCTGCAAGGTTGAACTATCCCTCCCTTATGACCCAAGCTGATCAGACCCGGCCATAAAGTCGAGGCGACCCCATTCACCACAAAAGAAAAGGTGATCAATTTTTCCCTCATGGCGAGCGATAATCGTCAGCCTCACAAGCAAGGTTCCAACAAATATATTCCCACCTTCCTCCCTTTCAACGATAGTGTAGCCACTCTCCTCGAAAGGAAAGACGACAACATTCCGCTATGGACCAGGAACAAAGTTCCGGCGCAGGCCTCACCACCGTCTACGGGGCTCACAAGATTAGGATTCCTCATTGCATGACAATTGAAACAATGCCAAGTCGTAAGGCATGACGAGCAATTGAATCACATGTCCGATGAATAACATGTGTTAATCCAGCCAGACATATGACCCAAGTACACATCATCTCGTTAGACATGCTCTCACATAAATCTCACATTCATAACCACATATACAGAGTCCCATAAGAATTCCAGGTTTTTTCAGTCCTTCACATATGTGATGAATACTTTAACAATATAAGTATTCATCAGCTATTCCACAATACGTTTCTTGCAATGAACATCCAATCATGATAAGAATCTCACAAAGTCCTTTGGTATCACTCTTTTATTTTACAACCAGTATCCAATACCTCTTATGCATAGAGACAGTTGTGAGAAAAATATCATAGTCATTTTACAATTGTCTGTGGCAGTAAGGCACAAATCCATTATTACAAAACAACAGGAGTCACAATCTCATTGATAATCTTTCAATCTCACTACTTTTATTAGCAGTTTACAATTTCCTTGGCTAGCCTAAGACAAAAGTCAGAACCAACTGAACTACAATACAAAAGCAAGAAAGTTACCAAAATTGATGCCGCCGATCTCATTTTTCTTTCTACCAAAAGTTTTCATCAAACTCTTGGAATGAACTTTCGTAGACGTGCACCTGATACCCAATTCCTACTTCGAGATTCATCCAACTCCTCTACTTCATATGCCCCATGTTCTGTTTTCCCAGTGATCCGATATGGTCCTAGCCACCGCCTGTCTAGTTTTCTGGACCACTGTTTTTCTAGCGACATATCATACAACAAGACGATGTCTCCAACTTCCAACGACTCTTTTCGTACACGTGGCCTCTTGTCCCAGCTTTCCTTGTCAGCGTGTCTGCTTTCAGAAGTAGAGACAGACGCATCCTCAATCCGTTCTTCAGTCGCCATGATATGTCTTGCCCTCAATTCCAATAACTCTTCCATCGAAAGTTTCGTTTCCACGTCCTGTTTTTGCCAAGTGGTCAGGAAACTCTCAATTGGAAAAGTCGCATGCCGTCCAAACCATAATGTGACGGGAGCATACCCGGTTGTTCGTTTGATGGTAACATTCTCAACAAAAAAGGTTGCCCTCAAATAAATTGGTCATCTTGATGGTTCCCCCTTGTATCATTTAGCCAACAAGTTAGACAAGGTGGCATGTCCTCGTTCCACGGGTGCATTGGCCTGGGGATGCGCTCTCGTCGTATAACTGAAGCTCACTCCAAGTCTCTTCAAAAACGTTTGCACCTCCTTTGCTCGAAACTTGCCTCCTCGATCCATAACAATCTCTTGAATAAATGGATAACGGAGGTAATACTCCTCAATGCACTCTGCCAAGACTGACCCAGTACGTTCGCGAATGGCATGACCATCAACGAACCCAGTCAAATTATCCCTAGCATCGAAGATATACCTGTACCCATTTATCCCAGGTGGCATTACCAGGAGATCCAAATGCACCATCACGCCCGGTTCTGCCACATAACGTGGATTTAGGGGCTCAAGGTAGCGGATATTAGACCCTTGTTGGCAAGGTAAACAAGATTTACAGAAGTCAATCACCATCTTGCTCATCACTTTCCATAAATAAAGACGTTGGATTTTGTTCAGAGTTACTCGCGCAGATCTGTGCCCGCCGGCCACTCCATCATGCAGAGCAGCAATCACATCCAACTGTCTGGAGGTTCCGCATACCACTCTCTTAGGGACACCATCAGCAGCTTTCTTGAAAAGGTGACCATCACGAACAATGAACCCTTTGCTCTTCTTCATCATAATCGGATCAACCTCACTCTCGTCCAATTCCCCATTCAACCACATGTCTATCTTTTTGTACTCCCCTTCGTACTCCTTCTCCTTAAACGCCTCCTTAATCTCACTGCCTCCTTCTTCCGTGGTCATTAACCGCGGGCGATCTTCATGAAGTAACAAGTTCATGATGAATGACACCCTTCCAATGGTCTGAAAAGCGTCATCAGACTGTCTATAGCCTTGTTCAATCGTCAGCGGATCAAGCATTAGGTCGATGTCATCAGTCAAAGTCAGCCTCATCATTTCCTCTACGGTCTGCTGGCCCCATGGATCCTCTTCGATGAAAGGTTCCTCCACCACGAGTTCTGGACGTACCTCGTGAAAGGTAAGAGCATTCCATATCGATTTCCCATGCCGAGTGACCGCATCTGTCAGGTAGGCAAGATAGTTAATACTCAATTGTGACTCCTCTTCTTTCAAAAAGGCATCGACCGGAACTGATTTTTCTGCCTGATCCGACTCTGGATCCCATTCAACCCGGCTTAGCCCATCAGCGCGATTCTGACTCCCCGAAATCCGTTCGATTTCAAAGTCAAATATCCAAATATAATTCAACCATCGTGCAATGGTGGGATCAGCAGGTGAATAATTCCTTAAGGACTGAGCCAATGCAGTCGGATCCACCCGCAGGATGAAGCGTCTACCGAACACATAATTTCGAAAAATACGGAAACGGTGAAGCACGGCCAAAGTTTCGTTTTCGAACTTCAGAGTCCTGCTCTCAAATCTGAGAGGTCTTTCCTACCCCTCACCATCCTTCTGAATTAAGACCCCTCCTAAGGTCGTGGGCTCCGCATCACTCTCAATAACAAAAGGACGTTTTTCATCATCGTCGCAAAAAGGAACTCCAAGGATCAATCCGCCCTCCCGGAACTCAGTCTTTATATCCGCCACAGCCGCTTGCTGCTTCGGACCCCATTCCCATTTTTGGCCTTTGCGCACAAGCTTTCGCAAGTGCTCCACTCTGGCGGCAAACCTGCGGATGAAAATGCGTCAAAATCCACAGGTTCCAAGGGAACTTCGCACATTTGTGATCAACTTGAAAGGGGTCGGTCATTCCAAGATTTTATTAGTCTTCTTCGCATCCGGCTGGGGACCTTTCTCGTCGCAAAGAAATCTCAGGATCACTGCTCTCTTCATACAATGTTGAGACTTAATCCCACTAGCTGTGAGATTAAACTCCTTCAACCTCTTAAGAACTTTCACCACATCATTGATATGCTCCCAGATAAAGCGGCGAATGCCCGGCAACACCTCCGCCAGGTCTTTCGTTCGAGGCCCTGGAATAGCCAAGTCATCAATATACGGCGAAGTTATGTCTGGACAATAAGGTTGCATAACCCTCGTCATATATCTCTAAACAATAGCAACGACATTTGTCCACCCCTGCGGCGCCACACACATATGGATCAACCCGCGAGGAGTGTGCATTGCCATCTTGGGCCGATCCGCAGTGTAAATGGGAAATTGATCATACCGGGAATATAAATCGATCAGGGTGATGATAGACCTCCCTGCACAAGACTCCGACAGTAGGTCCGCATGTGGGAGTCCACCTGCATCTCCCACTATCACCGAATTCAGCTTCTGAAGGTCCTGAATCCATCGCAGAGTACCATTCGGTTTGATGAAACAGAACCATGGAGATGCATACGGCCCGTAAGAATAATCTGCAACCTTTGTCCGGATCTTTCCATCGAAATATGCGACCACTTTACGGTGATCCTCCGGATTCGGATAACGTGGCCCTCTTACATTCCATGGCTCGTGTGGTACAGTATGAACTCTGATCATCGGGATTTTATCGACATCCAGCCTTCCTCGCTCATCATCATCAAACGCATAGGAAAGATGTTCCCCCCTCAATATATCGATGATATACCATTTTTCTTGCTCAGTAAGGAGGTCCTCCTCCCCAATGATCATGCTTTCCACTCTTTCTTTAGTTAATCGACATGGCCCTTTTTCACCTCTCTCTTTCATTCCACTGACCCACTTCCGCTCCTCACAATAATAGACTTCCTCCGCTTCGCCTTCACACCTACTTTCTTGTACTTACGTTTGGCGTCGGTGTCAAGCCTGCGTCCTCTAAAAAAGGACCCTGTCGAGTGGAGGGCAATTCCTGACCTTCTCCCTTATTCCCCTCCGACGGGGAGTAAACAAGGCGCATAGTTCCTGCCTTTCCTGTGTCCGTGATGATCTCTGTCAAGGTTTGTACCACATTTGGATGAATTGTTGTGTGCGTCGACACAAAATCGATTGTCTGCCCAATATCAGGTAGAGTCAGCGAGAACTCATGAGGATTCGACTCCTCTCCTAGTGATTCCTTCTCCCGTCTCAACTTCTCTGACTCCGGGAAGGTATACGATTCCGGGTTCAGCCGGTTCCGCGAGCAATAGGGTCCAGCGTTCGCACACTTGACTACTTCGTAATAACCACAGACAGGATCGCAAAGGATCACAAACATGTTCCCATCATGCTTGTTAATGATGATGCTCTCCGATCGACATAGGAATGCCCTTCCCAGAAGCACCTCGTGTTCCACTCTAGGTAACACGTAGAAATAAGAGCGGACTTTGACCTTTCCGACCGTGACGAGAACGCAATTGGCTGTCCCGCAGAATGGGATCAATCCGCTAGCGCCCGCCAAAAACTCATAGTCATCTCGGTTGATCTTCAACCCAGCTTCGATGGCATGGCGCTCATGAATGATATTGATCTCGACTTCATCATCCACAAGTGTCGAATACTCCTGCTGTCCAATTTGGACCTTCATATGGTCGGTTGACACACTTCGCCAATCCATCTTCGTCCCAGGCGGCGACCAGTTAGCCTCGGGCGGAATGACTTAGCCGAGCTTAACAGTCATGACTCTCTTGCGAGTCATCCGCTGTTTAAACTTTTCTCGAATCTTCGACGATACCGCCAAAATTTCCTTCAGCGTGACCAAGTCGTGCTGACTTTCCAGAATCTTATCGACGAGTCGCTCGATATCGACCCCCTGCTCCACGGGGATCGAGTAAATATTTTTCTTCTTTCACGGTTCTTCCTCGCTTGCTTCGGCCTTCCCTTTCTCCGGCTCCCTTTCCAATGCACGACGACGAGCCCGTTCTTCCTTTTCGGCCCGCAACTTCTCATCCTCATTATCCTCATCGTTCTCACTAATGGGGATAGACTCTTCTTCCACTGCCTTTTCAGACTCTCTTTCCTTCTGAAGCTGCTCGTTTTATCGCCGCATCCGAGTCTGGACGGCTACAATTAGAGCACTCCTCTTTAGCACAGGCCTAGGTCGCATCATGCTTACCATTGGCCCAGTTTGTGATGCTTCTCTCGGAGCAGACGTCCCTGCTTGGCCAGACGCATCTTCCCTTTTATCACCCCATTCGCCGAAGAGAAAGACATTCGGCAATCCAGGTCAGACTTCCTCCATGTCCACGCAAAGTCGGATGATAGAGTTCCGGCATCGGGTAAGCCGCCTTGTGATGGTTTGCGCTCGTTCCACCACTTGTTCCCTAAACCCTTCTGGTTCCGCCGGCGAGTCGTCAATATGTAACGACGCCATGGCCTCCTCGACCTCGGCCAACCACGCTTCTTCGGAAGAAGCAATCCGGGACGTCGTCGGCAGCGAACGACCCATTCGGCGAAACGCTTGCTTCCTCATACCCCCTTCAATGTTGGGGTCGATCATGTTCCCTTCGTAATCAAAGACTTCACCACATATGGTGGTGAAGACCATCCCTTCCTTCTCATCTTTTGAAAGGAGTTGGCAAAATCGCATAATATGGCCCTTCCCCGCGCAATAGTTACGTGGCTTCCTGCTGCCACGCCCAACGGTCTCGTTGTCCGTTCTCACGGCCTAGACCGCGGCCTCTTCCATCTTGCGGTTGGAACTGCCCTTGATCTTGGGAACTTTGTCCTGACGAACCACCGCCAGCAAGCCATTCCCTCCTTGATTATTTTGTCCACCGTTCTTCCCCTGTTTACGTGAAGTCCCCTGTCCGCCTCAAATTTGATTCAAGACCTTCCTCTCCGCCTTTGTCAACTTACGAGGCGGCTCCTTTTCCTCCTCGCTCTCACTGTTGCTTTCTTCTTCTATTGACTCTTTTCCCTTCCTCTTACTTTTTTTCTCGTTGGCCATCATGACTTGAAACTTCAGTCTTTCCTCCTTCATGCCTTCCATCATTTCTCTCATGCAGGTCAAAGTTTTGTAAATCCCACCGTCCTTCACCTCTCCCAACTTCACCTTTTCCCGTTCCTCTTTTTTCTGCCTCAACAGCCGGTAGAGGATATCGTCGAACTTCCCCACCAGCGCATTTTGCCGGACCTTAGTCCAGTTATACCTCCCTTGCATCCCTTCAACCAACTTCGACTGTTCGACGTCGTTGAAGTTGTCAAGGAAGATGAGGCAGCGATCTTTGTCGGACAGATCCGGGATTAGGCGAGCCACACGCTCGAATTCCAATAAAAATTGTTTGGTAGTACCAACCTTTTTACGATCCACCGCCCTCAAATCCTGTAGGTCGAGCAACCAATCTCTGAGCTGGTACTTCTCTAACAACCGCGCCTTAAAATCTGACCAATCACGAGAGATCCACACCAGCTCATCGATCTCGTCTCGGTACCCCACCTGGCAGTACCTTTTAACCATGCGAAGCATCTTCTCATCTGTCCATTCGTTGCTATATCCCAATTGCTCGAACTTGTCTGCCAAAGAAGAGGCATGATTTCTGTCGAACAACGGAACATCAATCTTAGGGTAGGGCTCCCACTGCGACTGTCGGATGACCCGTGCCAGTTCTTGAATGTCGTTCCTCCCATCGTCAACGTTGTCGCGACGTCCTGCGGCACCGTCCATCTAGAGACAAAAACATAAACCGAAACATTTAGTCTAGGGGCTTCGTGTCATATATTACGGCTTCTTCCTTGCAATTGTAGAAGTTCAGAGATTGCTAGACTTTTTTCTTAGACAACCACTACGACATAATTTTTTCCTTACTCCATTCTCGAGTGTCGTTCCACCAGGGACAACACAGGATGCCAGTCGCACGACCGCCCCTCAATAGCACGACCGGCCGCCCCTGCTTGAAGTGTTGCGGGGCCTGGCCGACCGCCCCTCAGTAGCACGACCGGTTCCCCCAGCCTGTGGTTCTGCTGGCCTCGCCCGTTCGAGGAGTCACAGACCCTGTTTACCGCCCGTGCCTTACCGGTTGGCTGCGCTACCCTGGCTTGGTAATCACCTAACCGGGTAGGCCTCGGCACCAGCCAGTTGGCCTTCTGGTTCAGACCCCAACCTCGTAGGCCCAGACTTCCTATTCCTCCTCCGTCGCGGCTATATATTTGGTGCACCCCTGTTTTTAGCCTACTTAGGCCCTGAATCGCGCGGCTGCTTAGGTAGAATAAGTCTAGCCTTAGTCCTTCTACGACCGTGCACCCTTGTGGCCTTGTCGGGGGCCGCGGATGACAGGTCATACCGCTGATTTTCGCTGTTCCGATCGAACATCAATGGCGTCACGTGTCAACGACGTCATATGTCAATGACGTCACATGTTAACACCGTCGTATGTTAATGACGTCATATGTCAACGGCGTCGGACTTTAGGTTTCTTAGTTATTAGGTTGGTCTGAATAACCTTTGGCAACGTCAATCTCATCAAGTCTTTCAATCCAAGCAAGGGTCGGGCAGTGTCTGATCTTGAAAAACTCGGGCAGAAACCCTTACAGATGTTTCTGTCCCGACACCGCTCCATCTGCCTGTCTGTCTGTGGTGCCGAGCCGAACTTGGCTTCATCTTCGTGTCGGATTCCTACATGAGAGCAGTCCAAAATGCCGACATGAAGCGAGTATCGCGGTCGCTGACTATGTCTTCTAGTACACCGTGGCCACAAATCCAACCGGTGTGCAAGAGGCGTGCCAAATCGGGAGCCGTGAAGTAGTACTTGCAAGGGAGAAAACGCGCGTACTTACTCAATCGGTCCACGACCGTGAGGATGCCGTCGTGTCCGAGGAGGTCGCGGGGGAATGGTCCGGTGACATTCATGGCAATGGAGAGACCGGGTTCCTGCGGGATCGACATCGGGCACAGCTCGCCGTAGGGGCTGCGGTTGCGGGGTTTGCTTCGTCGGCAAACTTCGCAAGAGTCGCAATACCTCGTGACGTCGGTGATGAGGTCGGGCCATCGGAATCGCTGTCGAAGCCGTGCAATAGTGCGGTTGACTCCGAAATGGTCGGCGAGTCGCGAATCATGATACTCGCCGAGGAGGCGAGTCCGAAGATGGCGGTCGTGTGGGATACATAGTAAGTCCTTGCCCTGCGAGTGCACGAGCAAGTACCCATCGACGATGCAATAGTGGCTGGTCGGCAGGTGATCCGAAGATAGCTGCGCATATAGCGTGGCGAAATCTGGATCGGACTCATAGCCCCTGATGAAGTGTCGCTGGAGTTCCTCGTCGAATGCGAAGGCATGATGTGTCATAGCGCAAAGATCAGGTCTTCGTGAGAGTGCATCTGCTGCGCGATTGGAGAGGCCGGAAAAATGTTTCGGTGTGAAGTCAAATTGGTCGATGAAGTACATCCATCGTCCGATCATGCTGCTCACCGTATCCTGCGTCTTGTAGTAGGTCAATGGATTGTTGTCTGTAACCCATGTGAACCCACGACGACCAAGGAGGAAGTGCCGCCATCGCTTGAGAGTCATGACGAATGCGAGCAGCTCCTTCTTCCTTGCATCATCAAGTGAGTTGATGGGAGGCACTTTGTGGCTGAAATACTCCACAGGGTGCCAGTCGTCGTCGTCGTGTTGTTCCAAGACTGCCTCAATGCCATAGCCGAAAGCGTCCGTAGTCACTCTCGTCGGCAGGGTGGGGTCATAGATGCTAAGGACGGGTGCCATGAGCATGGCCGTCTTGAGTATTTGGAATGACCGGCGTGCATCGTCATCGAATACGAATGGCACCTTCGGCGATTGTAATCTCGTCATAGGTGCAGCATAACCAGCCATTCAAAATGCCCATATCGCGTCTTGAACGCGGTCTTGTAGCGGTCCTCCTTGCGAATCTCGAGTTGGTGATATCCCGACTTGAGGTCAAGCTTGGAGAAGAACTTGGCACCGCCCAGTCGTTCGAGAAGGTCGTTGATGCGTGGGAGAGGGTCAGCGTTTCTGATCGTCTGTGCGTTGAGCTTGCGATAATCGATGCACAACCGCAAATCCTTGTTCTTCTTCCGGACGAAGAGAACAGGAGCACCGTATGGCGATGAGCTAGGCCGAATCCAACCTTTCTCAAGAAGGTCGTCGAGTTGTGCCCGAAGCACACTTAACTCTTCCCCGCTCATTCGACAGATGCAACCACGTGGAGGTATGGCCCCGTCCTCGAGGATGATGTCGTGGCGGATGGGCCGATCCGGTACTACTCCATGTGGGCCTTCGAACACGTCGCCGTAGGCGTCGAGAAGCTCGGTGATGCGTGGATCCGAAGATGAGTCCGTCGGTGAAGCGTCACGGGACGGGAGGGCATGGAAAAAACACACCCCCATCTCCTCGATGTCGTCTTTGATGATGGAAGCTCGCATGCTTGCGGCGGACACCACGTGACAGCTGATTGAAGGGTGAGGAGGAGCTACCGTGCATGGGACTAGTACTACGTTCCAATCACGAACGTGAACGGTGTGGCGGTAAAAGTTCATCGGGTGATCCTCGCTTTGCAGTCATGACATGCCCAAGATCATGTCGAATTTGGTGTCCAGAATGTCAAAGGACACCACCTCACTTGTGTGACGGGCAAAGTACACTGGGACGTCATCAATGCACCGGTCGATTGACTTGTGCGTGTGACCGTCCGCCAACGTGACTTGCGTAGGCTGGGACTTCCTTCCGACTCGTGGGCCAAGGTCGGCGCGTACCATAAAGTCTTGGCTCATGTAGTTGCGAGATGCTCCGCAATCAATCAAAGCGCTGCAGGTCGCCTCTCCGATCTGAATGTGTACATATAGCAATGGTGCGTCGATGTCGTCGTACTGTTGCGTCTTGAACTCGCGGTCGATCTTCGCAATGTAGGTGTGAAGGTCGACAACCTGTACTCCGGCGTCCATCAACGGAGTCGGTACTGCAGTGTGCAAGTAATCCCGCAATTGTGCCATGAGCACGTTGCAATGCGGTTTCGACAATCGACCGGACGGGGGAAGGGGCATCCATTGGAAGTCCGCAAATGTCAACGGGTCGAGCTCTTCAAGTCTTGACCATGACGTTGAATCCCCGGCGGTAGATGGTGGCGAAGTTGCCAAATCGGTTGCCGATGGTGATGAAACCGTGCATGCGGTAGATTGTTGCACGTGGAGCGGCTGGTCCAGCGGTGGGACCAAGCATACCGAGAACTTACGACATTCGCATCCTCCCAGATGTGTAGGAGGCCGCTAGCAAGGCGGCCGAATCTGGCGGAGTGGGAGGTGGAGTCGCCTCACCTCCCGCGAAACGTAGTTTTCCGAGTTAAGACGAGGCCGCACATCCTCCTTGGCGTGATCCTGTCAAAGGGAGGTCTTGTGCTTGGTGCTATTGCACCAGTAATAGCAGCCGTAACGGCCGCGGTACTTGTACTCGGCTCAGTCAAGTTGAACTTGACCCATGGTGGTGTTGGTTGTCCGTTTCCGGCCTGCGATGCTGATTTCGCCTTCCCGTTTCCTCGGGACTTGATGTTGCTTCGCGGCTGGACAGCAGCCACCTGATCTCCCTCACGTGACGCTTGGGTGGTTGTCGGGTCTTCCACAGTGTTGTCTGATTGGACTGCAACGAACTGCTGTTGTCGCGGACCAGTTCTCACCTTCTCCACATAGGTTGGCTGCCACGTTGACTTCTCGTGTGCAGCCGCCCTGTTGGTCTTGATGATCTCCCTCGCCTTGTCAATGATTTCAGCGAAGGTTGCATATTGCTCGCGATCACCAAGTGTGAGGCTCAATGCAGCACATGACCTGTTATAAAACTCGCGGTGCAGATGCGAAAATGGTAGATGTTGCCGTGAGCCAGTCACGTGTTGCTGTATTGCCTTGTGTCATGGCGAAGAGACGGTTGATGGCGAGTGCAGGTGCGTCGTTCACGATGAACCGCTTATTCCATAGCCGTGTTAACTCTTCCCATGTGATCTTGTCTCTCAGATCTGCGACGTCGACGCCGTGGGTGGATGCCAGGTGGCTTAACCAGATCTGGCATCCGCCCTTTGAGTTAAGAAACAGGGCGCCGACGTATGCGTGTTTGGTGACTTGCAGAATCCGAAGTTGCGTCGTGAAACCTTCTCACCCGAGGACCGGGTCCTGATGCGTGTGGTCATCGAACTTCTCAATTTGAAAAGTTGACATCTTGTAATGCTGTGTGCTGTTGCCATTCTTGTTAGGCAACTGCAGTTGCTGGACCTCAGTCTTCAAGGTATCCAGCTGATTGTTGATGGTGGTCGGCTCAGCGAAGGTGCTGATGTCGCCGAGCATTGCGACGACGTGGTCGACGGGTTCCTCCAATTGGCAGTTAGAGGGTGGACTGCTGGACACACCAGCATCTGGTCCTAGTACAACTTGTTCCAGGTCCAGTACACGGGAATTGAGTGCCCGTGTAGCATCCTCGTGGCTCTGCACTGTCCGGCGGAGGTTTGCCAACTCCTGGTGCTGTTTCTTCAGATCCTGGTACTGTTGCTGCAGTTCCTGGTTCTGTCTCTCTAACTCAGACTGTTGATAGTTGCAAGCGTATAATAACCGTGTCACGAGTTTGGAGAGGAACTCCTTGTGCTGCTCCTCCGGTGTCGCGTCGTCGCCATTGGACGGTTGAAAGTGCCAGAACTTGAGTCTTTCGATGCTGGCGGCTTCATGCCGCTGCAGTAGAGCCTGGGTATCTGCGTCTGCTTCGGCCTGTAGCCGCTGCTTCAGCCTGTAGGCGGGCATCCTCGGCTGCCAGTTGGCGCTGTTCCTCAGCCTCGATCAATTCGAGTTGAGTCTGGAACCGCTGTTTGTAGTCGGCAATAGACTCGTTGGCCAGTTGGCCTGGCATGCCCAGAGTTGCGCCCGTCATGGTGGCGGGGCATTGCTGACGTGGCACTGCTGACATGGCACTGTGGCTGACGTGGCACTACTAAGGTGGCATTGTTGTTGTGGCACTGCTGACATGGCACTGTGGATGACGTGGCACTGCTGACGTGGCACTGCTGACGTGGCACTGCTGACGTGGCACTGTACCAACTCGGAAATGCATGCAAAGGGGTGGGTGGGAAGGAAAATGTGGGTAGGCAACCAACCCAACAATACTTTCCTCCGACCCTAATCAACAGATAAAAAATAAAAAATAAAAGAGGTCTACTTCCCTTTTTTTTTTTTTTTTTTTTTATATATGTCGATCTGTTATGAGTGAGACATGTCGGAAGAGTACTATGAATGAAATCTAGGCTAGTTTCTGCAAAGTTTCGGCTTTTACAAACTGCGATCTTGAAAAAAAAAAATTGTGAAATGGAGAAAAAATGCGATTTTCAGAAAAGAACGAAATCCCGTTTCTGAGAATATGGCAACCTCCGAATATGCCTAACGAATTGTTGGCAGGCTTCGCAAGATTTCGTTTTTCAAAAAAATTTGCGAGATAGAATGAAAATTCGATTTTCAGAAAAGAATAATTCTGTTTTCCGATAATATGACCACTTTTATCGTTATCCCAATATGCCTAGAAAACGAAATACTAACATCAGGAAATTTCAGCTATGTATGCGAAATATCAGAGAAACGAAATGCTACTATCAGGAATTTTCAGACAAAACGAAATGTGATTTATCAGAAATTTTTCAGATATTTGTTACGTGAAAACGAAATACCAATATCAGAAAATTTTAAGGTAAAACGAAATGCGAATATCAGAAATTTTCAGATAGTTGTTGCGAGAAAAAAAAAATTCAGAGATTTGACGAAGTCCTTCTTGATTTACTGATGAGTAATCACTAGATCAAGCAAGCTGGGTACTTGATTGAGCGGGTCCTCTGAATGAGAGGTCCGCTCCGATACCAAACTGTTGCATACTGTAACGGTGCAGACCAGAACAAGAACCGACCTCCCAATACAAAGTACAAGATAACGTAGCGGAAGACTTAGATACCAATGATCCGAACAATCAATATTGCAATGCAGCCCTGAACATACATCATCATCATCGTTCCATGGTGTGAAAGGGGTCTGGCGCTTCACACAGGAAGAYTGCGCCARCCCCAAYCATACACAGACGAAGAAGAAGGGGGTTAGACGAAGAGGAGGGGAAGATGGGAATGTCGTCAACACCAAGTCTTCGGCACAAGCCCAAATAGTCCCTCGTCAAAATGTTTGAATCCCAAATGTCGAGTCTGGATCCAATGTCGTCAAGTCTCAAGTCACAACTCTCTCTCTCTCTCTATCGTGGTCTGCTGATCCTGAGAAGTCAGGTGGTGAGAGGGTGAGAAGAAATGGTGGAATTAGAAGAGGAAGACGAAGAACTCTCTCTCTCTCGGTGTCCAGTACTAACCTGTGAAGTTGGCGCCTTGATGCAGGTACCTCGAAGATGGAGCTGGAGCTATGGCGCCACAAGTAAGTACCGCTGGCCTCCGCCAGCCATCTCTCTCCAACGCTACCACTACCGGCTACTAGCGCCCTGCGCTGAAGACTACTACTACAGCTATGAGCGCCCAACGCTGAAGACTACTGCTAGCGCTTACTACTACTGCCAGCGCTCCTCCTGAGTGCTGCGGCTGAATCCTAAAGACTACTCATCCTACTGTCCAACTACCTACCCGTGAAGTGCATGGGAACTTCCTATGTACTACTTGGGTGCCTCCTGACTGCAGGCGAGGCAGTCAAGGAGGCTGCTCTTGCCAATGCCGAAGGGAGGCAGGGGCTGCCGCTGCAGCTCCTGCTTCAGCTGTCGTGGGGAACAGGCCAGAAATAGCTTGTTCCCGAACCCTGTTTTTGTGCCTGAGTCTTAGGGGAGGTCGAACACAATGAGGGCCTGAAAATGGCCCTCCGTTTCAGGCTGAAAAGCCTCAGGCCCAGAAATAGGCTGAAAACGGAATAGGGCCTGCAGGCCCAGGCTGAAACGACCCAGGCCTGTAAGCCCTATTTTCTAGGCTTTTAGGCTTTTAGGCTGAAAGTGCGGGACCGGCCCTGCAGGGCCCGTGTGGCTACGCAGTATGCCACAGAGAGAGGGAGACCTTGAAGTGGGAATGAATGTGGCTACGCAGTATGCCACAGAGAGAGAGAGACCTTGAAGTGGGAATGAATCTTTCGCGATAACGCGGAAGATTCATTCTCATTTCAACGTACACATATAGAGGAAGATTCATTCTCGTTGGAAAGGTCTTTTTGCAGAATGTTGTATGTTTTTTTTTCTTTTTTTTCCTTTTTGTTTTTTTCCGTTGTCCTACCGGTTGTTCGAGGCTCGGCAATAAAGTCCGAGTTAAAGTCCGAGGCTCGGGAATTCAACCCCGAGTTATCCCGGCACAATTCGGGCAGTAAGCGAATCGGGCTGTAAGCGAAACATACTGATGCTGCCGCGATAACTCCGGCCTCCATCATTGTTTTTGGAATAAATGATGGGAAAAAAAAAACAAAAAACGGTACTGCAGTGTGACGTGAATCATGCCCAAAACCTCAAATCGGCCCTTCCCAAATCCGCAGATTTTGCGTATTTGGGGTCGCCGTGTGAGTATACCCTAAGTGACAACAGAAGCTCAGGTACCAAAATTCTGGTACATCCCCGTTTGCCCCGCTTCTGAATGATGACATGCCAAACCTTGTCTCAAGGCTCTTCTTGCAAGGCGGATACCGCGTGGACATCTGACCCCACGTCCATAGGTGAGCAGCAGGAACTTCCCGCCAGTGCACGCTGATTGTGGATGGCACGGCGAATGGCAATAAAATCCCTCAGTGGAAATTGACATTCCGCCTCAGAGTCTTCTTGCGCGTCCTGGGGTTCGCGGCATTTGCACAGCACAATCCCTCCGCGATTTGAGTTCTGCAACGATGTCACAAGTTTACAACCTGTTTGTTATCAACAAGTCGGGAGGCCTAATCTACTACAAGGTGAGCTGGCCGTTCTGTCTTTCTGCAGTCTCTTCTCTCGTTTTCTTCTCTTCCCCCCGCCTTCATTACCTATGCTTCTCGACCTTCTGTCCGCGTCTTTCTTTCCCGGGTTTTACATGCGGAAAGGGTTTTCCCTCGATTGAGCTGGATATAGCACAGTCTATAATATTCGGAGGGGTCGCTAACTATCTTGTCAACAGTGGCATTGCAAATGGCTCTTCGTCGAAAAAAAACGAAAAATGAAAAAGCGAAGATCAGACTGATGAATTGAGATCTTGGTCGGTCACCCGATACCGGATTGCAGGGAAGGCAATCAGCAGTCTCTCTGCGAATTTGCCTCGCCTCGGGTCTACGTCACTACCTTCATCTCCTTCTCCGTCTTTCCACTTCCTCCTCCGTCGTTCTTCTTCTTCTTCTTCATATTATTAGTAGATTTACTTTTGTGTTTGTCCTAGTAGTGGTAGGTGTTGCCTTTTTGTCTATTTTTCGTGTGTGTGTGTGTCCTCATGTTAGGGAAGACAGCTTCGTGATCCAGCGGCCTAGCTCAGTTGGTTAGGCACGCAAGTGGCATTCAGGGGGCTGTGGGTTCGGGCGCCATGACCGCCTGCAGCGCACTTAGTGCAAACCGACTGTGATACTCCGCTTGATACCCCTGATCGGTAGTAGGGTCTATGACCAACACGGGTGTCAGTGTGAGCGTGAGTTGGTTGTGTGTGGTGTGTGGGAGAGTGTTGACCTTAGCCACTACTGCTACTCGATGCGGGGTGGGGGAAGTAGATGGAAGGCGCATCTACTGGCAAAATGCTCGGTCTTTGCGTTAGCCGCCCCCCCCCCAACGGGCGGGCCCATCCTACTCCCTGACCACCGCCGATTAGGGCGGTGGGCAACATGCATCTCCTTAATTCTGAGAGGTAGCTATGCTTGCAGGGGTCCTCTGTATAGGCTAAGAGGTAGTGGTAGGTAGATAGTGACAGGTGAAATCGAGAGAATAAGAGAAGACGAAGAAAAAAAAAAAGACAGCATCATGCGAGGCTCTTCGCGACAAAGCAGGTAAAGTGGGGGAAGGGGACGCATTGAAGCTCTGCGATTCAGGTTACATCCGACTACAGCACAGTATGATAGAGCATCGAGATAGGAGGATTTCGATCGGGAGCTTTGTCGCAGGAGGAGGAACGATTATGATGGCAGAATTGCTGGAACTGCTGGAACTGCTGGAACTGCTGGACTGATCTGTGTTCCGTGGCGCAGTGCACCTATCGATTTGGGGGGGTAGGGAGGAGGGATCCAGAGATCGGAGAAGGCAGGCGTACGAGGGCGAGAGAGAGAGGGAGGCCGGCGTAACGTGGTAGTTGATGACGGAACAGACGAGGGGCTCCGTTTATGTGCCGACAACAATGTGTGTGCGCGCGCGCGCGCGAGAGAGAGAGAGAGAGAGAGAGAGAGAGAGAGAGAGAGAGAGAGAGAGAGAGAGAGAGAGCCAATAAATAGAATTTTACCCGTAAGCAGCTTCTCCAAGAATTTTACCCTTGTGTTCGTCTTGGCCCGTCTCCTCCTTCCTTTCCGTTGCCTCCTGCAGCCGCTGTGCATATTGTCACTTCCTCTCTCGCCCTCTCTCTCTCTTCCCCCCCCTCTCTCCCCCCCCCTCTCCCTCCTCTTCAACTTACTACTCCGGAAGCTCGCCCAATTGGCCATCTCCTGTACCTTCTCTTTCTCCTCTTTCCCTCTCTGGTCCTGTTGCTCCTTTTTGTTTTCATCTCCCTCCTCGTACTCTTCTGCTCTCTTCTCCTGTCTTTCTCAACTCTTCCCCTGTTCTGTCCCTATGTCTGCCTACTCCATCTCTTTCCCTGTGATCCCCCCTTCGGCTTCATCGTCAGCCGACTGTCTGCTGCCCGCTCTCTCTCGGTCTTGAAGCACACGTTAGACACTCCTCCTACGCCGTCTCCTGATACTATATGAGTTGTCATCAACTTGTGGCTTATGATGCTGGGGCTCGGTCACGAAAAGAGTTTCCGTGTGTTTGGAGATTGGACGGGTGAAGAGATACCGACCTTCATTCGTCTTTTATCTACGGTCAATCTCTCTCTTCTTTGTTTTTGGTCAATTTTTCTCTTGATTTGGTAAAAAGAAAAATGTCTTCCCATAATTACCGAGAAATCCCGGCCCTAGCCGCTACTATCACCCGAGCTCAGGTGTTGTGCGGCGGATAATAGAGAATATGGCCCCTTTTTGGGGGGGCGGGGGACCTTGTGCGGCAGATAGTAGGGAATATGGACCCGAACAGTAATAAATCACCAAGGATTCGGGTCCTAAGAAGTTGCTTCTGGTGTGTGTACCATTCAGTCACCACCAGGAGGCTCGTGTCGTCGTAAATCTTCTCGTTCTCTTATCGCGCACCCTGCCATCCTCGTCGCCGTCAATCTTCTCGTTCTCTTATCGCGCACCCTGCAGTCCTCTTTTGTTTTCTCGTTTTTCGTTTCCTTTTTTCTCTTTGGTCAGTGTGAGGCAATGACCTAGAAGGAAAAGTCAGTAAACAGAGGGCTTGTTGCTGCTGGAATTATTGTCAACAGAAACGCCATTTGCCTCAGATAATACGGTTAAGTTCAATCATGGCAAATGTCAGAAGTGCCGTTCGATCGGCAGTTTCAGTGAGCATTTGAGAGAGCATATATGCTGATATGAGAGGCGAAAGCAAGCACACACTCAGAGTGTGAGAGAGAGAGAGGTGAGCGCAATCCCGATTTCATATTGTGTAAGAATAATATTACAGTATGTTTGTCTACTGTGCACTGTCTCTTGGCTGTGGTTTGTGCCGTCGTTTTCCTTTTGGTCATGTTATTTTTCTCGTGCGCTTGTGGTCTCTTATGTTAAATCCATGCATTTATGGAGAGAATGTTTTTTTCCCCATCTTGTTTTCTTTGGGCTCGCGTCATCTCGTTTGTGTTAAACATCCATGCGTGTGTGGACAGGACTTCGGTTCAACTGCAAAGCTTGATACAAATAACAGTCTCCAACTGGCGAGTGTATGGCACTCTCTTCACGCCATCTCCATGGAGTTTTCACCCGTTCCGGATTGCACCGGAATCGAGTTCCTGGAAGCTGATAATTTCGACTTGCATTGTTTTCAGACTCTGACAGGTGGGTCATTTCCTGAAGAAGCTGAATTAAGGAGTTGAACTGTAAGAAGGAACGGAAGATAAAAGTAAATAACAATGAATCACTGCAGGGGCCAGAAGGAAAATATTCAGGAATTGAAAAGGAGGAAACAGAAAAAGAATGCACAGAAACGCATGCCCTCTGTTCGTCACCACGCCTTGCACTCACCTTGTCAAGCAAGTGCCCACTGCAAACCCACCACAGAAACTTACACACCCTGTATCAGCTGGATTCATTTTCAGTACTGCTGTTCGTTGTCAGGAGATTCGACTGCTTGTTTTTCATTTTAGCGTTTGTTTCCTTCCCTCCTCGTCCTCTTCTGTCCCTTCTCTCCCCCCCCGGGGGCGGCCCCCACTCCGGTTTGCTTGGTCTCTCGTTTACTTGATTATTTTATAGATGTGTCAATGAAGGAATTCACGCACCAACAGGTTGGTTGCTTTGTTGGTGGTTGGAATGTGGCTTGGACTTGGTCTGGGGATTGGTTGTGCCATGATGTACGGGACGTTGTAATTTTGCAGGGACGAAGTTCTTCGTGGTGACAGAGACGGGAGCAGTGGGAATTGATGGTCTGTTGAGGGTAGTATACGAACTGTATGCAGATTATGTCCTTAAAAACCCATTTTACGAGGTGGAGATGCCAATCCGTTGCGAACTGTTTGATTATCACTTGAGTAATCATATACGAGGGGGGAAGGACCGACCCACAGGTGGCTCCTTCCGGTAACTGGGATCTGCTACTGGCAGAAATCTGGCTGCACATTCCTATTCCTTCGCGAGAACCACTTTCACTTTGGGTTTTTCTACTCGTATATTCTTGGTACCTTTCTTTGATTGTCTTCGGCCTCATTTGTCAGCAATCCCTGTGGTAGTGCGCATGGAGATTTGATTTTTTTTCAGCTGCTGTGGCAGACAAAGAAGAATGGTTTTCTCTCCTTTCCAAGGGATTGATTGATTGATTATAATTTTCCCAGGGTGCAAGAACACCTATGCATGTGAAATAAAAAGGCTGCTTGGTGAAGTTCTTCTCAATGGCCAATTCTAAATGAGTTAAACAACGAATTAACATGAAAATGAGCTTTTGTGTTTTTATCCCGAGTCTGTTTATCCCACTCCCCTCCCTTTCCTTTGTCCTCCCATTCCATGTCTGTGCTGTATACATGTCTCTCTCTCTGTGTCTGACTCTGTTTTTTTTTTTTTTTTTTTTTTTTTTTTTTTAATTTAAACACGTTAACCTTTCATTAAAAGAATCAGACTGAGGCCGGACCACTGAGAGCATTACTCAGCTTCGCTTACAGTCTTAACGACTGCACAGTCAACAGGACTGCATATGTAAACCTTTCAATTCCATTCATCCCCACCATCTACTGACCTGCGCTCTTTTCAACAAACCCTGGCTACTATAATTTCCCAAGCCGAATTAGTTCAACACCGCCTACTCTACCTTCCTATTACTATCCTACCTTCCCTAACTCTATTACTAAAGAAAAAGGGCCTAAACCGGCCTGCAAACCGTCCTACGAGTGTCTGGTTGGAACGATAGTTCCTCAGGTCCTTGGCACTCTCCGCCCACCTCCCAAAACTGGTCTACCTGCGACCCCAACCATGAACCGAGATACCCTGGTTCGAAAAAGGAGACTGCACCAGGCCAGCAAGCTCCCAACAAACCCAAAGAAGCCTAACTGAATCAGATGAGGTCTCAGAAAGGATAACGAGACCACGCCAACTAAAGCCAAAAACCTTCCGAATTCACTCCCTTCTTTATCTTGCAGACTTCAAATCGGCTCACCGTCTTACCTCCCTTTCCTGTGTATGGTGGTCTTAGTCCTGTAGCCACTTTGCAATCACTAGCCCTCTTGTCCTGTGCACTCCAGCCAGCCGGTTACCAATTGCCCAAGTTTTGAGGAACCACCAGAGAGCTCGCCTTGGCGCCTTCCCACAGTTGGCCTTTTTCTGCCAGTCTGCCCGGATTGATTGCCTCTGCGTCCGGTTAACTGCCGCCTTTATCTCCACATCTGAGAAGGGAATGCCTTTAAATCTGGACCTATTTCTGTCAGCCCAGATGACAGAGCAGATAGCAGCTCTGACCACATGTGCCACATATGACCAGCCCCTCTCTCGTCCTCTTTCACAAAACCCAGCAGCACTCATCTCTCATCCCACTCTACCTCTTGACCTCCCATCTGCACCCAGTGGTAGGCCCACCGTCTCCATATTCTTTTGAGGAAAGGCCAGGTACAACGGGTACAGCCCAAGGGTACTGGTGCTCCGCGGCCATTTAACCAAACTGCCAACGGGGTAACCATTAGAGATAGCATCCACAGAAGACTAACCTGCTTAATATCTGGCAGCTCCAACAGAATACTCCATAGTTTCAAGAAGTCGCTTGTCCTCGATTGCAGATCCTCGGTGAACGCTGCCCCCCATCTGGTAACAGCTACATCCGCCGGGGACCGTGACTTACCGTCTGCCAGCTTGTAGGAGTCACCAACTGAAATGCTTGCCAGATCTAGTTTGCTTTCAGCCCATCTCCATGCCCTTGGATCGATGCAAAGCTGCTTCAGAGGGACCCGTCCAACCCATTTCGCTGTCACAATCTCCCCTTCATTGTCTTTGTGCTCCAGTACTCTGATCTGAAGCGGATTCTGCCATTGCCTAATAACCTCATCCCCCAATAGATGCGGATTTCCAGTCCGCCTATCCACCTTCCACCTCTGAACTTCCCTGAACCCGCTTTGTGTCAGCCCCTGTAGTTTCCAAACCACTCCCTCGCACACAACTGGATCTGGGAGGTACCAAGTCCCTGTCGGATCCAGACCTTCTGGGCCAAGCAGTTGTGTCCAATCCACTGGAATTGCCCTTAGTAAGGCCCTCCAGTGTTCTTCAGTCCTCCTCAGGCCCGGTAGCTCATTGTGAACCTCGGCAAAAGGCTTCCAGCTGCCAAGTAGTAGTGACCACAAATCTGCCACCTTGGAAACTCCCCTTCTGATCCACGCCCTACCAAAAGCTGCGGGCTCTGTGCCAGCAGAGAAGTGGGAACCCCTTTCGTCCACAATCCATGGATTTTCAAACAGGCTTTGTTGAAGTACTTCCTCTTTCGTTTGTGGAGGGGTTCTTTCCTCTGGAGGGAACCCAGAACTCAGAGGTAATCCGTTTCTTCATGAAAGAATTCACAAAGAAGCACACCCAGACGTCTTCTCTCCTGGTTAGTTGCCATTCTCTCATGAGAATCATCTCGGTGATCAAAATCTAGTCTTCCTTTTCATTCGACAGCGCTATCCTAGCCAGCCACATTCTTAACTGCGCTTGTTTTCTCCTTTGTGGGTCCAGCAAACCAAGTCCCCCTTGCTCCTTCGGGAAGTCACCAGCTCCCAAGCCACCTTTACCAAGAAACCCTCATCCTTCTTCGCTCTAGGATTCCAAAGGAATCTTGTTGCCTGTCTTCTAACACTTGAGAGGGTTGGACCCGTGATTTCTCTTACTGCCCCTACAAACCAGGTAAGGGAAAAGAGAGCCACATTTATTACCATAGCTCTGCCAAATAATGATAGGTGTCCAGCTGTGCCCCAGACTCCAAGCCTTGCCTCCACTCGTTGATGAACCACTGATCCCTGCACGGCTCTCATCACCCATGTGCTCACTAGTACACCTAGAAACGTTCCCCTTTGTCTGGGTCCACTTGCTGCATACCCCACTCCACCTGCAGCGTGCGTCCAGCTGGCAACAGATAGACAGATTTATTCCAATTAAACCACCAGTACCTACCGGTTGTTAAGGCCGGACCCTCATTTTTCCCTGCGCGCCAAGGACTGCCGAGCCTGGAGGGGGCGGGAACCAACTTGGGATACATTATGGGCTGGCACTGGTACTGCCCGTCGTTTTCACGCGTGCAGCACCCCGCGCGTGGCCACAACTGCAGTCAGATACATTCTGGAGAGAGCAGTCCTCGTAAAAGCAAAAGAAAAAGAAAAAGAACTTCTGTAGAAAACGAAACGACAGTTTCCAGTTGACTCCTCCCCGTTTCTTACGGGGAGTCACGTCAGAAACGGCGAAGATAGTTCTTCCTAAAAAAAAGAAAAGAACTAAGAAAAGGAAAAGTGTGGGCGTTGCTTCACCACTCTACAACAAATATGGCAATGTATCTTTCCGTGTTGTAGTGGAGGATTCAGTCTCATTTTGCAAGCGAGGGAAACTAAAGGGCCAAGCAAATGTGCACAATGAGACTGAATCCTCCTCTAGAACATGGAAAGATACATCGCCATGGCCTTTAGTCTTTTGTGCATGTGGAGACTGGCGGAGCCAAGGCCACAGAAGAAGGATTCGTCGGGCTGTACTCTCCAAATGCACAGAGACATGTATCTGTCCATATTTCGGTGGAAAATTCAGTCTTGTCGTTTTGCACATTTGGAGAATTGTGGAGCTTGGCCCGTAACTACCACATGAGGGCCGTTTTTGTTGCCTGCCAAGTGGCGGGTACTTTTTTTTTTTTTTTCCTTGTTTTCATTTTTTTCTTTCTATTCTCTTGGTTGTACTGTCTGTGTGCATGTGGAAACATGCTCGCTATAAACGACGCGGACAGCCTACAGTCCATTTGCCCTTTTTCCTTGGGCCCGACAGCTTCTACTCCATAGCACTACCAGGCCTGCCCCAAACCCCCTAAAGTCGTGGCGCGTTAACGGCCGCGACTTTTTTTTTTAGCTGGCCGAGGTACTGGTGGTTTAACCAGTGCTTTCGACAGCTGGGAGTATTCCATTAGGACCTCCTTGACTGCTCCCAGTGAGGTTATGGAGTTCTTGGATACTATGAACAAATCATCAGCTAAGGCCTTGGAGTGACAATCCTTATCTCTCTAGACCTGCAAACCCCGAATGGAAGGGTGCTTCCGGATCCAACTGCAGCACGAACAGCAGTGGGGCGAGGGGGCATCCCTGCCTCAGTGATCTCGTCAGATTGAAAGAGTGGGACAGGTGACCATTAATCTGCACTGAGGAGGATGCCTGAGTATACATTGCAATCACCCAACGACAAAAACCTTGGCCGAAACCCATCTTCCGCAATGTCGTGAGAACAAAGGACCAGCCTACCCTGTCATAGGCCTTTTCCATATCCAGCAGCAAGATGGCCATGTCCAAGTCTACTGTACGTTTCTCTTCTATACATTCAATGGCTGTCAGAATGTTCACAAAGATAGACCGACCCTGTACAAAGGCACCCTGGTCCCTGCCCACCAAATCTGGAAGCACCTTCCCCAATCGCAATGCCAGAGTCTTTTGGATAGAACTTTATAGCTGACGTTTAGGACTGAGATCGGTCGATAATTTCGTACGTTCGCCTTATCACCTTTCTTGAACATGGCAGAGATGACTCCGTGCGCCATGCATTCTCCTAACTTACCTTCCTCTAGGACCCCGTTGAACACTTCTAGCATTGCTGGCCCCACAGCATCCCAGCATGCCCGATAGAATTCTACGGTCAGCGCATCTCTACCTGGGCACTTCCCTGATGCCATCTCCTTCAGGGTCTGCTGCACCTCCTCGCTTGTGATTGGTCTGTCCATTGCCAGCCTCTGCGAGGGGGACAGGGATACTGTAGTATCGTGCCACATGTCAATTTCTCTTGACAGGTTGGTTTTGATGGTGTCTTCCTGTCTTCTTGTAGTTAAAATATCAGCATTGTAGATCTTAGCATATTCCAGTATGGTATCCGGAGAGGTGGCTGGTGACCCCGATGGGTCAAAGGGGTGGTCCAACTGCACCACCTGGTGAAAGGAAGTACTGGGTAGCAGCCTCTTAAAGGTATCTTTGTTCAGTCTGTCCTACACTAAGATCCCTTTCACCCTCAGCGTTTCTTCCCACCTGATCTGCCTTTCCACCTGAATCTTGTCCCATTCGGCCAGCCTTTTCTCGCTCTCTGCCGCCCATACCAACTCGGAGATGGGGTGATCCTCCATTCTCCTTTCTGCCACCTCTACCAACTTTCGACGCTGTTCCTCTTCTTGGTTTCGTCTCTGAGGCAGGAT